AAGGCTGTGCAACTGTGACATACAACTGTCTACTGGGGCTTTAGGGGAAAAAAAAAAAAAGGAGGAGGATCAGCAATAGATGTTAGCTCAGAGCCAGTCTTCCTCAGCAAAATGAGGAGGATTAACATGGATGTCAGCTCAGGGCTGATCTTCTTCACAAAAAAATAAATAAATAAATAAAACTGTTTTAAAAAAAAGAAAAAGAATGACACACTTCCACCACACAAATACATTCATCACGACACACCCCATATCTGAAGGGGACTCAAAGCAATCTCCCTCAGCCTCAGCAAGAGAACCAAGCACTACACCCTGAGGCATCCATTACATTGTCTATAAAGACTTAATTTCTCTTTTATGTCCATAGGAGGGTTATAGGCAAGTACCATTCTTGGGACAGTTGGGAAGAATAGTCGCTCCAGTAATTTTCTGTAGGTTTTATTTCTTTTGCAAAACCCCAGCTAAGAAAAGCTGCTACAGTTTAGCCCCTTTGAATGATTGATTCACCTCAGGCCAAGGAGTCATTCATATGACCAACTGAAGACTCTCCTGCTTTAATTTAATGCCATGTCCCTTTGTTCGGTCCCCCTGAGACATGGAGAATTTACTGGCATGTCTCTCATAAAGCACTGACACGGCAGGAAATTAAATTCACCTGGTATAATCAGCTGTTCTGAAAGCTTTGCTGCTTTGCTCTGCTGGCTTTACGGTTGCCAAGGCGATTGCAAAGTGATTGATAACTTGTTGAAGGATTTTTCTAGGAATTGATGTGAAGTCTAGACATCAGCAAACCCAGGTATGAATAGAAGAGACCTGCCACGATGCTAAAGGAGACTCTAGACCTAAGGGAATGAGGAATATTTAACCTGAAGAAGAGAAGGCTCAGGAGAACTTGAAGGGATTCTCCCAAAAGCTTAAAGACAGTCTTGGGGAAGAAAGAGGAGCTTTGCTTTGAGTGGCCTCAAGGGGGCAGACTTAAGATGCTTGGGTAGACGCTTTAAGAACATGGATTTCAGTTCAATATCTGGATAGTTGGAGAAATATACACTGAAAAATGGAGCTGGTGAGCTTGCCTTCGCTAAACATGGCTGTATAAGAGTTTTGGTGGCTGCATTGTGTAAGGAGCTGACTAGACTGTGAGATGTTTCATTCAGAACCACTAATATCCCATGCAGGAACATAACTCAATGATAATGGTAATATTCAGAATCATTCTTCTTTCTAAAGAACCAAGTTTTATTCCTTTTTTTCCTGTCAATTCAAATTAAAAATAAATTACTCATCATCCATGTTCAAAGTGTCCTTTCATACATGTGATCTAAGATAAATATGCATTCTACATATACATTTTGATTCAAAAATAAGATAACAAAAGTAATAGCTAACTTTTCTCCAAGATAGCCTGTTAAGCACTTTACGTGCAATTAATCTTATTTAATGTTAATTTAACGAGATGATGCTGTACAGAGATAATATTAAAGACAGACATTTAAGACCATCATTTAGAAAGAAATCTACGGATGTTTCTCTGCTCAGAGGGTCATAAAGATGAAAGGAATCTTGTCTAAGCCAAGACCAGGATAAGATTTTCCTAAGCCACACAGCTACTGGTGCGAAGGCATCTCGTGGCACCACAGAGCCCTTAGTCCTATTCAAACATTGGTTCAGTAAATCAAAATGTGTTTTTTTTTCCTGCTTGGCAGGCAGGAAACAACGAATCAGTGTCTTAACAGATTGACAAAATACGTAATTAGACACTATCAATCACCATAAAAGAGCCTGCTTTTTCTTACATCAGATAAAGGTGCATTTAGTCTACTAAGAACTTTCCAGTTTCATGAAGCATGAACTCCCTAAGGCCACAAATACAGTAAGCAGTGCTAGTCAAACTCCTCTGCTAGGGAAAGAAATGAAAGAGTGGGCAGTGAAAACACGTGAGCCCAGGAGCAGACTTGGCTCCTAATTTTCCCTGCCCTCCTTGGACTGGATACTCGCTTCTACCCTTTAGTTTCCTCATTTGCAAACCGGAGGGAGAGGAATAAACTGAACGATCTACTATACTCTTTCCCGTTCCAGTTCTCTCTAATCCTATAGTTCTAAAAGGAGGTCAGGAGAAGACTCCTGGCGTGAAGACAACATCTTGAAATTCCTACCAGCTTCATGATGCAGCAGAGATAGAGAGAGCTTGTCCATTTGGCAAGGCTGGTGAGCAGAGGCCTAGAACTTCCTCATTGACATAAGCAGTCTTCCCTTCTTGATTTAGTGTTTGTGTGTTTCTTAAAAGGTGTTTCCCCAAATATTAAAAGTTAAACTTTTGGGGCCGGCCAGGTGGCTCAAGCGGTTAAGTGTGTGCGCTCCGCTGCGGCCCGCGGTTTGCCGGTTCGGATCCCGGGTGCACACCGAGGCACCGCTTGTAGAGCCACGCTGTGGTGACGTCCCATATAAAGTAGAGGAAGATGGGTACGGATATTAGCTCAGGGCAAATCTTCCTCAGCAAAAAGAGGAGATTGGCATCAGATGTTATCACAGTGCTGATCTTCCTCACAAAAAAAAAAAAAAAAAGTTAAACTTTTAAGTGACTTACGTGCATACCTAAATGATCAATTAGTGTTTGTCCTAAAAGCATTTTCGTTCTTTTTTTGTTATGGGAAGGTTAAACAATATGCTTATTTATCCCATAGCTTCACAAAACAGGAAGGAGGTTTTAAATGGCTCAGTTCCACGATTTGGGGTAGATGTATATTTAAAGAAACGTGTTGCATAACAGACACTCCTTCCTCCTAAAATGCATCATACCAGAGCCAATTTTGGAAAACACAAATATGGGGTAGTTATATTTTGAAAACTATGTGAACATAATAGAACCTTAATTAATATTTGTGGCTTTCTATGGGAAATATTTGTTTTGTAAGGCATCTGCCTTGCGAAAACAGTTTCTGCTAGTGAAGGAAGTTAAAAGGTGCATGTATGGTTAAATTTTGTTTCTGAGTTTTACTTCTAGAGTAACTGCCCAAGTTACTTCTGTCCTTTATTGTCCTGGTAGAGAAGACTAACAGCATATTCTAAACTACTAAGTAATTTACATAAAGTTCATTTATAACCCATATTTATGTGTCATTTATATGTGCCAAAGCACTTCTACATTTATTATTATATCATTTGATTCTCACTCAGCCTAATGGAAATGACTTTATTCCCCCTTTAGAGATGGATGAAATTAGGCCCCATCTTTGTGATTTGCCTAAGGAAAGTGAGCTAGAAAGTTCCGAGACAGGGGGATCTGCACCCTGGGTACTCCAATTCCAGTTGGAGTTCTTCCCAGTCCTCCATTCCTTTTTGTATATGATGATGCGGTACACTGAACAAATGAAAAGATGGGTTTTAGAGTCAGGTAGATCTGGGTTCACCTCCTGCCTCTGACGCGGTGCCCCTAGGCAAGATTTTTCCTCTTTGAGCCCCATTTGTGAATTAGGCTAAAAATAGTATCCCCTCTACCATGGGACAGTGGGAAGGATTAAACGGAACAATGCAGGAAAAGCACACAGCAGAATGTTCCATAAATGTTAACCATTGTTATGTTATTATGCTATCTACAAAGTATGTTTGGTTACACCGCACGAATTACTTTCAGTTTTTCAAAGACACTACTAATGCATGTGAAATCAAACCCTGAAAATTAATTTCTTTTTAACAGTGAAGTCATATGCCAGATGCCAAGGATAGTATTTCACCGGCAAAGATCCTAGTTTTAAGGCTTGGTCTGACTTGTGTTTTTTAAGGAGAAATTATCTTTTGCTTTCTGTGGTTTCCAAACAGTCGTAATGGCAACACATTCTTCATAGTCTGAGCCATATGAAATTGACATTTTTTAAGTCAGAAACTGCCGAAATGGCTCAACCAACAGATCAACAAACTACCCAGCAGATGAAAGGATTTTCCTACTTACAATGGGATTGCTGAAGTTGAGGTTGAAAGGAAAATTCTTCCATTTTCAATACATTTTCATTCCAACAGATAATGAGGGAATGATGCCACACTCACAAGAATTAAAAATTAAAGCATACAACTTTCTCTCTCTCGCCCAAAACACATACATGCACACCCAGCTCCAAATGAAATCCAAAGTGTGAAATTGTATGTCTCAACGCTTGCAAATTCCCAAGGAGGGCACCAAAAGTGCTTGACAGAGAGTGTGCTGAGGAAATCAGCAGCTGTTGAAGTCACCTCCTGTGGTCTTGCCAAATGTTTGAAAGGGTATATGCTGTGTGTCCGTATGTGTGGTGGAAGGGGGTGGGGAGGAGGTCGGGGGTGCAGGGGTGAGGGGTTTGGAGTACCTGGATGGGGACGTCCGTGTCGGTGACGCTGTGCATGCCTCCAGAAGGAGCGTTTGTGTGTTGTTTACTTCTTTTTGTGTGTGAGCCCATGCCTTTGTGCTTCTGGGTGCCCCTGTGCTTGTTTCTGGCCGCGTATCTGTGTTGACAGGGGTGACTGTCGGTTTCTGTGCGCGCGCTCGTGTGCTCGTCGGTGCACTGGACGGGTGTGTCTCAGTGTCGGTGGCTGTGGCTCCGTATAAGTCTGAGCATGTCTGTCGGGGTGCGTGTGTGCCTGTCCGTGCATGTCTCAGTGGGCACTCTGGTCTCTGTTTCCGAATGCGGGGGAGTGCCGGCGTGCTGCCCTCTGCACTGAGACCTCGGGCCGCACAGGCGCCCACTGCAGACAGGTAGCAGTCACAGAAGAGCCAAAAGCTCTCGGGTTGGCTCGTAAGCGGGCCAGTTCGAGCTTCAGCCCTCCGGGGCCAGCGAGGGTAGCCGGGAGGGAGTGGTAGCCCGCCGGTCCGCTGGGGAGCAGCCGAGCCCCGCCCGGGCCAGCGCCAGGAGTGGGTGGGAGAGGGAGGGGAGGGAAGGGGCGGAGGCCTCGCCCCTTTGGGGCTGCCGGCGCGCCATTGGCGGAAAGTTCCCGCACGTCACGGGGAGGGCAGCTCCCCTAAAGCCCTGTGCACATAACGGGCAGCGCACACTCCTGGGCGGCTTCTCCAGAGCGCAGGCTGAGACTGACAGGCACCGCGAGCCCAGAGCACCCCACAAGCTGAGTGCAGGACGCGCCCCAACCACACCCACCCCACGGCCGCTGAATGAGGCTCCTGGGCGTCAGCTCGCTGCTGGCAACGCCCCGCCGGAGGTCCGCCCGCTGAGGCGCGGCCGGTGCGCTGGCAGCCAGTGCGCTCACCTGCCAGCCTGCGCGCCATGGGGCAACCCGGGAACGGCAGCGTCTTCTTGTTGACGCCCAACGGAAGCCACGCGCCGGACCAAGATGTCACGCAGGAACGGGACGAGGCGTGGGTGGTGGGCATGGCCATCGTCATGTCGCTTATCGTCCTGGCCATCGTGTTTGGAAACGTGCTGGTTATCACAGCCATCGCCAAGTTCGAGCGTCTGCAGACGGTCACCAACTACTTCATCATTTCCCTGGCCTGCGCTGACCTGGTCATGGGCCTGGCGGTGGTGCCCTTTGGGGCCAGCCATATCCTCATGAAAATGTGGACTTTTGGCAACTTCTGGTGCGAGTTTTGGACTTCCATTGATGTCTTGTGCGTCACGGCCAGCATTGAGACCCTGTGCGTGATCGCAGTGGATCGCTACGTTGCCATCACCTCACCCTTCAAGTACCAGAGCCTGCTGACCAAGAATAAGGCCCGAGTGGTCGTTTTGATGGTGTGGATTGTGTCAGGCCTTACCTCCTTCTTACCCATCCAGATGCACTGGTACCGGGCCACCCACAAGGAAGCCATCAACTGCTATGCCAAGGAGACTTGCTGTGACTTCTTCACGAACCAAGCCTATGCCATTGCCTCCTCCATCGTGTCCTTCTACTTGCCCCTGGTGGTCATGGTCTTTGTCTACTCCAGGGTCTTCCAGGTGGCCAAAAGACAGCTCCAGAAGATCGACAAATCTGAGGGCCGCTTCCATGCCCAAAACCTCAGCCAAGTGGAACAGGATGGGCGGAGCGGGCATGGACTTCGAAGGACCTCCAAGTTCTGCTTAAAGGAACACAAAGCACTCAAAACTTTAGGCATCATCATGGGCACTTTCACCCTGTGCTGGCTGCCCTTCTTCATCGTGAACATCGTGCATGTGATCCAGGATAACCTCATCCCTAAGGAAATTTACATCCTCCTAAACTGGGTGGGCTATGTCAACTCCGCCTTCAATCCCCTGATCTACTGCCGGAGCCCGGATTTCAGGATTGCCTTCCAGGAGCTTCTGTGCCTGCGCAGGTCTTCTGTGAAGGCCTATGGGAATGGCTACTCCAGCAACAGTGACGGCAGAAGTGACTATGCAGGGGAACAGAGTGGAGATCAGCTGGGTCAGGAGAGAGACAGCGAACTGCTGTTTGAGGACAACCCAGGCACAGAAGACTTTGTGAACCGTCAAGGTACTGTGGCTAACGATAGCGTTGATTCACAAGGGATGAATTGTAGTACCAATGACTCAGTGCTGTAATGCGGTTTTTCTACCTTTTAAGACCCCCCCTAACAAAACACTAAGCAGACTATTTAACTTGAGTGTAATAAATTTAGAATAAAGTTGTATAGAGATGTGCAGGAGGAAGGACATCCTTCTGCCTTTTTTTTTATTTTTTTAAGCTGTAAAAAAGAGAAAACATATTTGAGTGAGTATTTGTTTCTTGTACAGTTCAGTTCCTCTTTGCATGGAACTTGTAAGTTTATGTCTGAAGGGCTTCAGTCCCCGAGAACCTGGGGCTGCTATGTTGTGATGACTTTTCCGCATATCTACCTCATTGGTCAAGTATTAGGCGTAATATATTGCTGCTGGTAATTTGTATCTGAAGGAGTCTTTCCTTCCTGCACCCTTGGACTGGAGGATCTTGAGTATCTCGGACCTTTCAGCTGTGAACAAGGACTCTCCCCGCTCCTCTGATTTGCTCAAACAGGGTGTCATAGGCAGGGATTTGAGGGGCAGCTTCACTTGTTTTCCCGAGCAAAGTCTAAAGTTTACAGTAAATAAATTGTTTGACCATGACTTCATTGCACCTGTTTCTCCAAAACCCCTTGACTGGAGTGTGGTTCCTCCCCCACTGGAAACCACAGGTAACTATTTGTAATAACTGCCCAGTGACTTAATATGGAATAACACAGGAATGACACGCACTGATTGCTTAACCCTTTCATTTGCCTTTGAATCTGCAAACCTGTATCTCTCCTAACGCTAGGGCCCCAAATCAGTTCTGCCTGCCCCCAGCATAGCTCGTCTCGCTTGTCCTACGGTTATTATTCTGTGTTGTCACATCAGAAACACTGACTCATAGAAATGGAGTTATGGACATCTGTTTTGTCCCTCCATGAACCCCACCACCCACCTTCCAGCTCTACTTGTTGGATAGCTGATTATATTTATGTCTTTGCCATGTCTTAGAGTGGAGATCTTTGTACTACCTCAGGCTTTGGCATTTTAAGGATAAGGAAGAAGTTATTGTGAAAAAGCTACTCAAACAGAGCCCTGTAATTCCAAGGGAGAGTGAAAGGGCATTGGTCATACAGCGAAAGCTGGAAAATACTTAACTGAGGAATATCTCATGACCTAGAAACAGCATTATAAGCCCTCCTCCTTCTTTCCTTCTGTCCATTTCTTCCCTCTCCTTTTGACACTCCTCACTTCAGTATAAACCAATTTCTCAACCTTGGCACTATTAACATTTGGACCAGGTGATTCTCTGTGATGGGGGCTGTTTTGTGCATTGTCTGATGTTCAGCAGCATCCCTGGCCTCTACCCATTAGATGCCAGTAGCACCCTCTGAGTTGTGCCGACCAAAAATGTCTCCAGACATTACATTACCAAACACCCCTTGAGGGGTGAAATTGCCCCTGGTTGAGAACCACAGATATAAACTTCAAAAATCTAAACAGATTTTTAGATCCTGTCTCATGTGACCATTTTATTTTGCAGAGCCTAAGAGAGGGATTTTTCAGGGTTCCCCTGGTTAGTGACAGATCCTGGGCCAATGCTCTCCCCACTCCCTTATGCTGTCTTCCAAACTTACTTCCCAGCTGCCCGGATACTGATTGTGAGACTGAACTGTTTGGAAGGGTTTATCAATGGAGGCGAGGCCTGTGAGCCCTTACTGCCTATTTGTGGAGAGATTATAATACTGTTAAGAGGCACATGAGGGAAAATCACAAAGGTAAACACATTCCTTCTCTCACCCCCTTTCTATTTTTGCCTGTGTGTCTGAGCCAGAGCTTGGCCCAGGTCTGACCGAGTGGATCGTCCTCCTTGGCAACGCCAGCCTGAAGAAGATCAGCCTGCAGGGTTCATTGCCATTTCACTCGCTCGTGAAGCTGACTCCACTTCTCTCTTCCTTTCTGTCCCAGCCCACGTCCCCAACCAGAAAAGCACTGGCCTCCCCTGCTTCCTGTCAGCTCACCGACGGGTGTCTGGGTGAGCACTGGGCTCTCGGAAGAAAGTTAGGAGCCTCTGTTTTTGGAACGTACCATGGTGAATTGGAGAGTGTGTGCCATTCAGCACTTTTCCTTTTTCTCCAAGGGCTTTCATACCTATTATCACATTCTCCTTCTCCTGCTCTGTGCCCCACTCCCAGAGATGCAGGCAGCTTCTCCAGCTAATCTTCACACTCCTCATAGCCTCATGGGATCTCAGACTTTGAAAAGCCCATAGAAAGCACTTGACATCCGAAGAGACTGAAAGCCTGCAAGGGGGATGAGCTGCCCAAGGTAAGAAGCCAAGGATGTCAGAGACGGGGCTACAGCCAGGGGACCCAGCTCTCAGCTGTTGTTCCAGGAACTGGCGTGTTCTCTCCACCACAGAGTCATTGAATTCTACCCTTACTCTCAATCGTGGAAGCTTTTCGTTGGCGCTGTCACGTTTTTATTGCTTTTGGTCCTTAACACAATATTCAGTCAATAAACAAATAATCTACAACAAGGACGAGAGAAAGAGTTGTTCTTTTAAAGAGTCTGCTAGGAAATCCTCAGCATTTAGCGAAAGTAGGAAGTTCCTTAACTCTTTATGACCTGCCAGGAATTTCAAGCCAATCCAGGTAGAAATGTCAAAAAAAAAAGTTGGAAACTTTTCTGTCATCATTTGTAAGTCCCATAGACAATAAATATTATTAATAAAAAAAATGTTGTCTTTATACTCTTTTGGTTAGAGGAGCATCTGACATAATTTCAATTAAAATTCAGCTGTGACTGTTAATTCAGATTCCCAGCTAGAAGGGGGTTTAGCCATATTCACGTCGCTTTAGGAATACTTTCAAGACAAGAACTTTGATCCGTTTTAAGGGTCTTGAGAAGCAAGAGCATTTTGGGCATGTTTCAATCCCTTGCTTTCAATCTCCTTTTGTTTTGCTTTGTTCCTTTCGGGGGCAGGCATTTGTCAGTGTTCCTCCATCCCTCTGTTTGCTGACAGGTTGGTTACGTAAGGTTTGTGTGGGATTCTTCGTCATAAAGTTTTCTTTGCCTGGACAGCAAGTTCTGAGTCTGTCAAATGAGAACCTTATCCCGAGACGCAAGCTGACAGGTGTGCAAAGTGGCAGGACAGGGCGGGTCTCCCTGCTGAGACCATTGCAGGGGGAAGGAATCTGGAGAGAAGGGAGCTTAGAAATCGGAACTGTCGCTATGGGATGCTTAGAATGTTTCTGAAGAACTTACTGCCAAAAGAAGCCTAGACCAGAATCAGTTGGGGGGTATTTATGGAGCACCTACTGTATGCAGTATGAGAACAGTATAGGCTTCAGTCTCTGCTTTCTGTAGCATAGTATTAATAATACTAAATAGATCCCTTTTATGGAATCTTACTAAATGTTAGGGACCGTGCTAGGCACCTTTTGGGCCTTATGTCATCTTGACAACCTTATGATGGAGGTAGCATAATTGTCTTCATCTAACAAACGAGAGAACTGAGGCTCAGAAAGGTTAAGTAACTTTCCAAAGCCACACAACTGGCTGGTTGCAGAGTCAGAACTGGAACCCAGGTCCATGTGAGTCCAGCGCCCGTGGAGCGCAGCACACATGCAAACCAGGAAGCAGCACAAGGCAGCTTATAATCTGTGCCAGAACAAGTGTAAGAACTGGAAATGCAATAGCTCGTTGAGAGAAGAGGGAGATTGCTGTGGGTTTCGGCAGGGAGGAATGTTCCCTTCGAAGCATGTGACTGCAGGGTTGCTGGGGACTGGGACAGGAAACCAATCATTGAAGGGCCTGGGTTGATTCTGTGAGTCTTTGTTTTGTCTTTTCATCGGAGAATCAGGCCAAACTGAAAAGAGGATATGAAACTTTAAAACAACCTCAATGTAAAGCAAAAACATAGCCTACCTCACATTCTGGCAAATTCATTCTTGGTTCCAAGGTTGGGAAGGTCTCCTAAATGGAGCAGTTAGGTGGACCTAATGGAAAATTTGGCAGGCCTAGGAGGCCCTAGGAATGTGCTGTCCATTTTGAGCTAGCAGTCTAGTGCAAGAGAGGTGATCTTCTGACAGCAGAGAGCAAGGAGGGTTCATGCACTTTGAGACTTCACTGACAGGATAACGTCCAGAAGGAGGAATTTTTGAAATACCTAAGAGAACAAACTTCCCAAGCACTTTTAAGAACTTGAGAAATACTAGTATCTTATGAATAATAGAGGCAGGGCAAGGTGAAAAGGGGCCTGGAATGGGATTCATGCAACTAGGTTTCAGGTCTCAACTCGGCCTCTCTCCTCTCTCCTCTCTCTCTCTCTCTCTCACTCTCTCTCTCTCTCTCTCTCTCTCAAGGTGGGTAAGGCAGTTTTCCTCAATGGCCCTCAGTTTGCTCATCTGTAAAATAGTGAGTCCCCTGCAGGTGGTCTCTGTGTTCCGCTCAGCTCTGAATTCATATAGCCATTAATTTAGAGGCTAGAGACAGCGGTTTGTATTTCTAATTAGAGTGGATGACATTTGTCATATGAATAATGGTTGAATATCCTGGGGGTTGTCAGCTTGCAGAAGAGGATGCTGTGAAGGAGGTCTATTCGGTGCACGATACCTGCTTTCAAATATTTAAGGACCAACCGTCTGGGGAAAAAGTTGCATATCAGTTCTAGATGAATACTGGAAGGCAAGCAGAACCTTAGAGGAAGGTAGATCCCAGCTCAGGTGAACGAAGACTTTTCTGAGTGAAATAGGTTATCTGTCAGAAGAGTGGGCCTCCTGTCATTGGAAGCATTCAAGAGAAGCCCAAATAAAGCTCTGTGCAGGATGAAGCACAAGGGGCCCCTGCACTGAACAGGAGCTGGACTAAGCTCCTTCCAGATCTGTGATTCCCTGTCTCTGAAAACAACAGACCTGAATGTTCTTAAAAAGTATACAGACCGTTCCCTAATTCCAGCTGGACTTCTCCCCATTTCTCTGGATTTCAGAGGTTTCACTGCATTCCTAAATGGGAAACCTCCAGGGGAAATCAGGATCTCAACAGTCCTTGGCCATGGGGGGATATCCGGAAATAGAGCAATAAGGTTAAGCAGTTTTCCAAACTATTAGACCTTTTCATCAGCTGCTCTTCCCATGCCTTTTGCAAATGACCTACTAACTCCCAGAGAGAGAATAACGAGAGCCGCAAAGTCCTCTCTGCAAAGGCTATTACATCCTTCTCCACCCTCGGAATCATTGCGCTTCCTGTGGTCTTTCCGTCACCCTCACAGGACAGGAAGGAAGGGAGGCAGGTCCCTGGCCAACACAGAGCACCTCAAAGCCCTCTGGCCCAAGAGCCTGGAGACCTGGGGCCTACGGTCACCCAGCCACTAACTGGCTGGCAACCTCAGGCAGGTCACTTCCCTTCTCTAGACCTGTTTCATCACCTCTAATGAGAGGAAGTTCGGTTTACATGAGTCCTTTGTTTCCTTCTTTCTCCAAAATTCTGTAAGATTTCGGGAAGTCTTTGGTGCTGCATATCTGGCTGCATTGCTTTTAATTTAAAAGCACATTTGTTTCGTGTTAAAAAGCTGATAGAACTCGTTGTACAACATTTAAAAATATATGAAAGAACAAAATGAGGTAA